GCAGCCCTCATCAGTCATCACTTACCTAGCCCCAGTAGCCCTCACCAGTCATCACTTACCTGGCCCCAGTAACCCTCACCAGTCATCACTTACCTGGCCCCAGTATCTCTCACCAGGCATCACTTACCTGGCCCCAGTAGTCCTCATCAGTCATCACTTACCTGGCCCCAGTAGTCCTCACCAGTCATCACTTACCTGGCCCCAGTAGTCCTCATCAGTCATCACTTACCTGGCCCAGTAGTCCTCATCAGTCATCACTTACCTGGCCCAGTAGCCCTCATCAGTCATCACTTACATGGCCCCAGTAGTCCTCATCAGTCATCACTTACCTGGCCCCAGTAGTCCTCATCAGTCATCACTTACCTGGCCCCAGTAGTCCTCATCAGTCATCACTTACCGGGCCCCAGTAGTCCTCACCAGTCATCACTTACCTGGCCCCAGTAGTCCTCACTAATAGGCGTAATAAAAATTGTAATAGGCGGTGTGAGTCGGGCTATAGGTCCTACCGTAATTTTTAAAAATTATTTTCTCATTAGGATTATAGAACGAAAATACTTGGGATACAGTGCATGACTCTTCGTGAGCCTGAATTTCATCTAAGGGAGCATGCAAAAGGCAAATTTTGCAGAATTTATGAGTGTTAGGATTCCTTCCAGAGTTGTGGTTAATACTCTTTACAAATTTATCAAAGTCCTTGATCAGACAGAGATGCATGCCTTCCAATAACAACAAAGGGACTTTATCGGCATACTTTTCTTGGCTTTTCCTAGCTAAACTAAGATAGAATCCGTTACTTTCATGAGTTACAGTATAAATATAAATACAAATTTTGTTAAGCTTCTCTATTTTCTTAAGATTATCAAATGATACGGGGAATCTGATTTCATCTGCCCATACTACGAATCTTCTACACCATTGATTGCTTTTGTAATATTTTCTAACGTTATCCATGGTCCTGCCCAATGCTAAGTTTTTATACGCCGCAATGCACTGTAACAAACACTCATCTCCTTCACTTTCAGGGTTAAATACTGATTCTTTGCCCCTTAATTTTGCAGGATATGGTACATATGATCCAAGGTGCATAGGGTGGCGAATATATGAAAAATTAATGGCAAAGCCCGACATGGAATGAATTCCTACACTTGAGGATTGGACATTTTCAGGCATTCGTCAATTTTAGCGGACATTTCATCAACCCATGAATTTACGAGAACTTCCACCTCATCCTGTGTAACAGTCTGAGTTTCGCCCCTAATTGAAAATACTTCGTCTAATATTTCATATTGATCGTCGGCATGATTAAGTTTTTTGCAAAATTAGGCTTACGTCAGGGTAAATATGAAATGAGGGAGGGAATTCTTCCTGTATTTGTCTGAACTGATTGTCTATATATTCTATAAAAAATCCCCTATATCTATTTATATATACGCTGGGGTCAGCGTCTAAATGGCCAGGAATGGAGAAAGAATGTCTCGAGAATGATCCTTCGAAATGGCGTATGACTTCTAACACTCGCGGAACAATGTGATCTAAGTTAAGTACCTCTGGGGAATCTGGAGCGTTGACTTTTTAATCTGATATGTCATGAACAGAGGGTTGATTGTCTTCTTCTTCATCTGAAGAAACCTGCAGGTTGCCGTCTGGTGCATCTTCTTCTAGCTCCTGGGAAAGCTGGGGTTGACTGCGTACAGGCGTGCTCCACTCAGAGGGTTGGGTTGAATCCAGGGGCGATTCTGTAATATAATATTAGCAATGAATAAACATTAAGAGGAAAGCAAATTTGAAAACATTAAGAGGATTTGAAAACCTTAATAGGAAAACAATGTTTGTAACTTTAAGAGGAAAAATATCGTCTAAATAAGAGGAATCATTTAGAGGAAAAACAAAAAGTCTAAATAAGAGGAAAAACTGAATTACAGATAAATAATAATATTACTTACGAGCTGGGATGTTGATTCCACCAAGTATGAGATTCTCTTGATCACGAATAGGAACTCCTGTAATGGAAACATTTTTCTGTATGAGTACATATTACTTGTTTATACACTTGTTAAAATATACAGTTATTAACTTTTTAAGTTACGAAAATTATTGTGAAAACGTATGGTTATTTATGATGCGACGGCGTTTGGGTGGAGGCTCAATGACGTTTCTGGCTTCGGTGGGAGGTTCCCGGTTAGCGGACCAACGACAGTACGGGCAGGAAGTAGAACCATGCACTGAAATAGGAATATATATAAATTGACTGTCTGTATGTATGTATGTGTGTTTCAGATATATATTTCTTTGAAAGTTTATTGAATGTGCGAGAAAAGCGATACTTACAATTTGCACAATAGAGTTGTCCACAGCTGGTACAGGTTACGTCAAAATGTCCAGGTGGTGTAGACCCGTTGCATCCTATACAGTACAGTCGGCATTCTTGAAGAGCGTTGATGGACATCTCAGCTAAGCTGTTATGCATCTTGTTTGGCACTCATGCCTGATTTCGTTGTTGAGAGGAGACAGGCACAGGGGACACACTGACATGATTATATGACCAGGCGGGAGGAACCTTGTGAACAGGATGAAGATTGAATGTTGACTGAAAGTGCAGGCCTCTAAGACTATGGCCTTAGGCGATCTGAGGGGTCCCTAAATGAGCGTAATAACATTAGTGTGCCCCTGAGTGAGCGTTTTGGCTGTTTTATTAATAGCGAGAATGATTGGCGAACACTGGGATTAAACTCCTTTATTATAAATTATGTAAACTAAAATTAGATGACTAAATAAATTATAAATAAATAAATATGTTTCATTAACGCCTAATGAATATATATATAAATTATTACGGTGGTGAACGCTGACAATGACTGGTAGATGACAGGGAAGGTAATCAGGTGATGATCGCCTCGGGGCATGTAGCCGGCGCCAGCTTAGATAGTCTCGGAGGCAGCTTCAGTATTAAAGGTTACATTGAGATGCCTCGGTTGATTTGTGTAAAACTGACTGGTTAATGAAAAAGGAACAAAACATTACGATGTCAGAAAATAGCTGTAAGGAAATAGGAAGAGAGACCAATATGAAAAGGAGAGAGGGGGACTGAAACAGGCAGGGAGAGGGGGGAGGGACGGTCCAGATATTATGGAGAAGATAAGATTAATGAGGTGACCTGCATTCGGCGTCTGGCTGACCTGCTAACGGCGTAAAGTAAACACAGGTGACGCGAGAGATTGTGAGGTAAGGGGGGGAGTGAGGTATGAGCGGGAGATGTAGGGGTAGGGGAAGGCAGTGAAATGATTCAGATATATAGCAATATACTAGTTTCTAAGTAGGAATCAAACTTAAACATATACATCCTAAATATCTGTTTATTATCGGTAGGAACTCTTAAAAAATTCTCCCATATGAACTCTTAACAAACTCGTAAGACATTATTTTCATCATAAGAACTTTTAACAAACTCGTATGATATTATTTCATCATAAGAATTCCTTAATTCCATATCAGTGACTTGAATTTGCCAATAAGAACTCTTAACAAACTCGTATGACATTTTTTTCATAATAAGAACTTTAACAAACTTCTAAAATCTCGGAAATTATTTTTCTCATAAGAATTCCTTACTTCCAAATCTGTGACTGCGTAATTTTACCTGAAAAACCCTGACTCAAAAACACGATATTTCTAAATTTACCTGAAAACCCTGACTCACAGACACGATATTTCCCAGAAACAAAATATCGTCTGGCGTTGTCATCCCTACTACTCCCACCTACAGGATGCCCACGTATTACCACCCACATACAGGATGCACACGTATTGTCACCCACGTATTGTTACCCACCTACAGGATGCCCTACATATTACCACCCACCTACAGGATGCCCACGTATTACCACCCACATACAGGATGCACACGTATTGTCACCCACGTATTGTTACCCACCTACAGGATGCCCTACATATTACCACCCACCTACAGGATGCCCCATGTATTACCACCCACCTACCGGATGCCCACATATTGTCACCCACCTACAGGATACTCACGTATTACCACCCACCTACAGGATGCCCACGTATTACCACCCACCTACAGGATGCCCACGTATTACCACCCACCTACAGGATGCCCACGTATTACCACCCACCTACAGGATGCCCACGTATTACCACCCACCTACAGGATGCCCACGTATTACCACCCACCTACAGGATGCCCACGTATTACCAACCCACCTACAGGATGCCCACGTATTACCATCCACCTACAGGATACCCACGTATTACCACCCACCTACAGGATGCCCACGTATTACCACCCACCAACAGGATGCCCCACGTATTAACACCCACCTACAGGATGCCCCACGTATTATCACCCACCTACAGGATGCTCACGTATAACCATCCACCTACAGGATGCCCACGTATTACCACCCACCTACAGGATGCCCACGTATTGTCACCCACCTACAGGATTCCCACGTATTACCACCCACCTACAGGATACCCACGTATTACCACCCACCTACAGGATGCCCACGTATTACCACCCACCTACAGGATGCCCCACGTATTAACACCCACCTACAGGATGCCCCACGTATTATCACCCACCTACAGGATGCCCACGTATTACAACCCACCTACAGGATGCCCACGTATTACCAGCCACCTACAGGATGCCCACGTATTATCACCCACCTACAGGATGCCCACGTATTATCACCCACCTACAGGATGCCCACGTATTACAACCCACCTACTGGATGCCCACGTATTATCACCCACCTACAGGATGCCCACGTATTATCATCCACCTACAGGATGCCCACGTATTATCATCCACCTACAGGATGCCCACGTATTACCACCCACCTACAGGATGCCCACGTATTATCAACGCGATGCTCAATACCCCTTTAGCTGAAACACTTCACTCACAGCTAGCAGACTACAGTAATATTACCAAAAACTGAAAAGTAATTATCAATTAACTGTGAAGACTGCAAATAATTTGCTGAATTGTTCGTTAAATTTTGGAGTAATATATTGGTCATATAGTGTTATATTGGTGACTCAAGTATCAGGTATAGTCATATATTGGTGACTCAAGTATCAGGTATAGTCATATATCGGTGATTCAAGTATCAGGTAGTCATATATTGGTGACTCAAGTACCAGCTATAGTCATATATTAATGACGCAAGAATGAGGTAGTCATATATTTAATCAATGTACTGCTAATCAGGTACTTGTGTCAGATTAGGTGATTATTCCCCAAAACATAATTTCTATGATATATGATTAACTAGAGTTTTGTAATTCAACTAAGAACAGAAACACTGTTATATTTTAACCACAAATGCAGTATTACAAAAAAATTGCACACAATACATTGCACCAAAATTGCACAAAAAATTGCACAATATGCATCGGAATATACTACATTTTTTAGTTTTATATCTTGACTAGTTTAGGCAACAGTTGCAACGTGTCGCAACTTGCAAGACAAATCCCGTAACTTTATCAATCATAATATATCATCTGAGGGCGGCGTTGGAGTGCACGCAAAATAACACAGCTGAAGCCAGCATAAAATACGTCTCTTCCGGAATTCATTATGGACAAGCTTCCTGCCTGCTCCATCAGGAATATGTCTGCTGAGAGTATACCCGTTGTTGACATGACTGACAGCAGGTAATGGGCGGAGACAACGTGTGATATACCTGAGACCTGCAGGTAGACAGCGAGCGTTGGGCTGCAGGAGAATGTCAATATATCCTCCTGTAGGTGATGTTTAAACTGTCAGTACAACATTGTTTACAACAACAGTAATAATATCCTGGGTAGTTTATTGTGTCAAGTCATACGCTTGTGTGGGTGTGAGTAAGAGAACATCTTAAGGGACGGGGCAGCGCCCGGGGCCACATAATCACGGGAAGTAACTTGCTTTGATTAAAGTATTTCTGGGTGACTTGTGTGACGCATCACCAGTGTTGGGGGAAGGCTGAGTGTCGCGTGTGGGGCTGGCAGATTACACAGCTGGCTCACTTAGAGCCCGCCTCTCTACACTATAAGAGCCCGCCTCTCTACACTATAAGAGCCCGCACCATGTTTGCTTAGGGCGAGACTTTGTTGACTTAAGGCTGGACTCGATGAACTAAAGTCTGAACTCTGTGGACTTAAGGGTGAAGTCTGAGGACTCATAGTTAGATGATGTTTAGGGGAAAAATACTTTATTTGCCCTGATGTGAAACAGGTTAATTAAGCTTGCATAGGATATTTTGATGCAATATCTACTTTATTATAATTAATATTGATGGGAAGGGTAATTATGGTAAGTGTACATAGCCCAACCCTTAACCCCGAGCACCAGACACTTGACCCCGAGCAACAGACACTTGACTCCAGCACCAGACACTTGACCCCAGCACCAGACACTTGACCCCAGCACCAGACACTTGACCCCAGCACCAGACACTTGACCCCAACACCAGACACTTGACCCCAGCACCAGACACTTGACCCCAGCACCAGACACTTGACCCGAGCACCAGACACTTGACCCCAGCACCAGACACTCGACCCCAGCCCCAGACACTTGACCCCAGCACCAGACACTTGACCCCAGCACCAGACACTTGACCCCAGCACCAGACACTTGACCCCAGCACCAGACACTTGACCCCAGCACCAGACACTTGACCCCAGCACCAGACACTTGACAACAGCACCAGACACTTGACCCCAGCACCAGACACTTGACCCCAGCACCAGACACTTGACCCCAGCACCAGACACTTGACCCCCAGCACCAGACACTTGAGCCCAGCACCAGACACTTGACCCCAGCACCAGACACTTGACCCCAGCACCAGACACTTGACCCCAGCACCAGACACTTGACCCCAGCACTAGACACTCGACCCCAGCACCAGACACTCGACCCCAGCACCAGACACTTGACCCCAGCACCAGACACTTGACCCCGAGCACCAACCAACTTAAGATTTAATCTTTTGCTTAAAGTGTAACCTCTCCTCAGTCAGCTTAAGCTCTCCTCTGTCAGCTTAAGCTCTCCTCAGTCAGCTTAAGCTCTCCTCAGTCACCTTAAGCTCTCCGCAGTCAGCTTAAGCTCTCCTTAGTCAGCTTAAGCTTTCAACTGCGTCTGTGTCTAGTAAAACTTTGTCTTTGGGTTAAAATTCTCGGGTTTTCAAATGGTAAAGAAATGGTAAAGTGGATAATTGTGGTTATTAACAGTGAAATTTAACAGCAATATACATCAATGTGGACTACAATATGTCTTCAGTGATGTTGGCTCGTGTTATATTCCTGGTTTGTCACGTGTTTAACATCAACAGTGGTCGGCTAACATGTTAATGTCTCTTAGTCCTGGAAATATGGGTCACGGTAGTGCAGTTGCGATCTTTCTCGACCCACAATCGAGAATTTCGGATTCGAGTCCCAAGTGGGACAAAAATGGTTGGGCACATTTCCTTTCACCTAATACATCTGTTCACCTAGCAGCAAGTAGGTAGAGTTAGCCAGCTTGTTGTGGGGTTGCATCCTGGGGGGGGGGGGGAAGGGGGGTCAGTAACTTGACCTTCGGGAGGGAGGGATAATCCTAACGTGTATGAATACACTCTGGGTGCCTGTCCCCTAACACAATGAATTATATTATTATTATTATTATTATTATTATTATTATTATTATTATTATTATGAATTATTATATCATTCTTCCTCCTCCTCACTGTAGTCTCCACAGTTCTCAGGGGATAAATAAACATGTCCTAGAAAATACAATTTACTGACACAGTTTGCTGCCAGAGTGCCAAGACTCTTCATCATGTCTTCCAGCCATGGCCTCGTGTTGTGACCTTGGTGGGGAAGTTATTCACTACTGATCTGAAGGCTTCTCCCCCGTACATTGCTCTCTGCCTCGCTCATTACTCCTTCACACTGGTCATCCATCATCACGCTTCAAACACCAGCACAAATACCTGCACGGTAATTTACCATCACTTTTATATAGAAATGTCTGGGTTATGAAACCAAATGCTGAACTTTCTTTATAAATGGCCTTCACCTCTACTTATTTGATACATTTTAAAATATGAGCTTACCTTGTGGTTATGTCACGCTAAAATAACTGTCTGTCACATGCCCTTTTCCCCCCTCTCCCTCCCCCCCCCCCCGCCCCCTTCCACCGTCGGAACGCTTAAAGGTTCAGATTTCATCTTGAATTTACTCCAACGTCTTAAATATTCAACAAAGCTTTCACAGCACGAATGGGGAGCAAAACGTGTAGCTTGATCTCTCAAGCTGATTCCGCTCAAAAGCAATTTCTTTTATAAATAAGGATAAAAAGAGGGAAGATAAGCTATGGAACATGAGCTTAATTTTTTAAGATAGGAAACTGTTTCCAGATTGGAGTTGAGCACATTGGAGATATGTGGAATTATATCTGAGAAAACTTTGACAGCAAAAATGCCGCAGGTCTGAGTTATCTTCACTTTCCTGTCAGTAATGACCTATTTTTTCAGGAATTAAGGAGAAGTGAAGTGTTCCTGTATAAGCTCTGTCTTGCAGGCCGGGACTCTTGCATTGTTGTATATACTTACTGCATTATAAGTTAACTGTATTGACCTTCGAAATATTTATAAAATCGGGCCTTAAAGTTGTGGATGGAGGTCACTTTAAACACTTCTTTGGTGATTGCAGTCCACATTTTGACCATCCGTACATATGTTGACCATCCGTAGCTGAGAGAACAGCGCGCGGGACTCGCAATCCTGTGGCCCGGGTTCGATTCCCGGTGCCGGCAGAGACAAATTGGGCAAAGTTTCTTTCACCCTGATGCCCCTCTTACCTAGCAGTAAATAGGTACCTGAGAGTAAGACAGCTGTTACGAGCTGCTTCCTTGAGTGTGTGCGTGAGAAAAAAAATTGTTAGTAGTTAGTAACAGTTGATTAACAGTTGAGAGGCGGGCCGAGAGAGCAGAGCTCAACCCCCACAAGCACAACTAGATGAATACAACCAGGTGAGTACACACACACACACACACAGTGAGATTCAGTAATATAGCTGGTCTTCCCGAGTGAGAGTGAAGAGTGACACAAAGTGATCCATTAGCTTGTGTGTGTGTGACGTTTGTGTGTCACAATGAACAACAACAACAACAACAGCATATCTTGTTGTTGTAGTGGTGGATGTAGTAACTACGAGTCAAGAGTTACAAGTTTGGCCTCTTTATAACTATGAGTGAGAAATAGCGGCCACCGGGGAGGCAATCACCATAACATCTCTCTCAGATGTCGTCACATAGCCATGAACAAGGCTGAAATATTAGCAGTCTTCGCGCGTGGCTCCAGGCACACATTCACATTCAAATGTAAGGGAAGTCCCTGCCACGCATCACCCCCCCCCCTCCCCACCAACTAACAATTTGTTTGGCCCTTGTACTCGTGCTGAGATCTGTGGGACTTTGTCGATAACTATCACTGTCCTAACTACACTTCTCTATACCCAGTCTTACCCAGACGGTAGACCCGATACAATACTTAAATCAGCCTTAAAGGTGATGGTTTAAATTCATGTTGGGGTTTATGTGTATCATTTAATGTTGATATCAGCAACATTGCTCACTATAAAGACAGTTTTGTGTCTAAGTTCCATCATTAATTTACTCTATTTAACACCAGCATCACAAATCCTTAATACATTACTAATTATAATATACATACCGTCACTAATACTCATACATTACCATCTTATGAATGCAGTCGACGAGACACATTAACGTGGCTCAAGAAATCATCCCAAGACTTGAAAATTTTATATTTTTATTAAGTTATTTATATATTGTGACGGTAACATGTTGGTGTTCGGCTGTTTCAAAAGCTAGGGGTATGGCCTCGTCACACA